TTCTCAGTATCTTGAGAATATGATTCATTATTATCATTATAATTTGAGTCAGAAGATTCACAACAGTCAGATTCATCGGAACTACTTTGCATATTATAAGTTTTAGCTGATAATGTTCTTTTAGGGTTTCTTCGAGATGATTTTTCTTTAGAGTTTCTTCGCAGTAATTTTTGATTACTCTTTAATGCGTGTTTTGTTATAAAGTCCTTTATAAAACTGTTTAACTCTTGTATTGCTGATGGTCCTACATCCAATCCCATTTGAATCGCTTTTTTTGAAAGTCTATTAGCTATTACATATTCCTTTCGTTGATTTAAAGATTTATAAACACGTTTATAAGGAATATTAACAATATTATAAGGCATTTCTAGATAAGTTTCATTATATATAGTAGTATTGGTAAATTTCTGAAAACCATCAATAAAAGATTGTTGACAAAGAATTGAGGTAGGTTCATGTTGTTTTTCATCTTTATATCATCATTTAGATATAAGCATTACATGAAATTTCACATATATTGAATTTCCTAATAGGTGAAAAAAATGTTGGCATACAATACCACATCGGACAAATCCAAGACAAGTACAAAGGTGAGATTTATCATTAAAAAGAACAACATAATTTTTTTTTGTACATCTATGACGAACAAGTTTTCAAATCTCAACAACGTCATCAACTTTATTTATTAGAATAAGTTCGTTTAAAAGTATTAATGGAACATCAACAGTATCTTCTGCAAAATCAGTATTAGGTAATTCAATTTCATCCTCAATTTCAAAGGTGAGATTCTTATCAATTTGTTGTGGAGAATACCAAATAGCTTGTGATATTTCTTGTCGTTGCATAGAGAGGGCAGCAGGAGTTAAATAGTCAACTATCCATGTATCAATAATAGATGAAAAATCATAACTTAAATGTATAAGTGTTGAACCAATAACAGAATGAGCCCAATTTTTATATTGTATTGTAGTAGATACACGATTAAATTGTAATTCAATTTTTTGAAATAGGTTTAAAATAGATGTATGACTATTAATAGCGCTTTTAATTATCACATTTTGCTTTTCTACTCTTTGCGTAGTTTGAATCCCTCCTGTAAAAACACATGAAATATAAGCCAATGCCTATCTATATTTTTGAAAGCCAAGTGCTCTATTAAGATATGATTCTGAGACAGGATACTATTCTAGTAGAAAGTCCTAGAGCTGGTCAAATTCAATTTGAGATAGAGTATTTCTCATTTTATATCAAGCTTTAATAAAGTCATTATATTCTGAACCCAATTTAGACTTTAGATTCTTTAATAAATTCTGTCCAATATGATATATACAATGTATATAGTAGGTATCAGGCATTAAATTTGCAATGGCGGCATCAATAGCAAGATCATTGTCTGTTATAATAACTGAGGAGAAAGTGTTTATTCCTTTAATAAGAGAGCTAAATATCCATTCAAAACTCTCTAATGTTTCATCACTTATTAACGTTTGGCCAACCAACCAAGACCGATTATTATTATCAATAATAACAAAAAGTCCAAGTACCATTTTAAACCTATTAATAGAGTAAGTATTATCATATTGAACTATATCACTATATTATACATAAAGTTCATATTGTTCTGGTGTTATCCAGAATAATGAGACTAAAGAGTTGGTTGTTGGATCTACATGCCAATTTATAGTCCACCTAATATCCTCAGCTTTATATTCAATAAGG